GTTCTACAGTTTTCAGAGTACAGGTATTTCACCTCTTTGGTTAAGTTTATTCCTAGGTATCTTATGGTTTTTGATGCAATTTTAAATGAAATTGATTCCTTGGTTTCTCTTTCTGCTGCTTCATTATTGATGTATAGAAATGCAACAGAGTTCTGTGCATTGATTTTGAATCCTGAAACTTTACTGAATTCGTGTATCAGTTCTAGCAATTTTTTTTGTGAAGTCTTTTGCGTTTTCTGTGTAGAATATTGTGTCTTCTGCAAATAGTGAAAGTTTGACTTCTTCCTTGCTGATTTGGATTCTTTTTTTCTTTTTGTTGTCTGATTGCTGTGACTAGGACTTCCAATACTATGTTAAATAACAGTAGTGAGAGTGGACATCCTTGTCTTCTTCCTGGCCATAGAGGAAAAGCTCTCAGTTTTTCCCCATTGAGGATGATACCTGTGGGTTTTTCATAGATGGCTCTTTTTTTTTTTAATTTTTTTTTAACGTTTATTTATTTTTGTGACAGAGAGAGAGAGAGAGAGCATGAACAGGGGAGGGTCAGAGAAAGAGGGAGACACAGAATCTGAAACAGGCTCCAGGCTCTGAGCTGTCAGCACAGAGCCCGATGCGGGTCTCGAACCCATGGACCACGAGATCATGACCTGAGCCGAAGTCGGACGCTTAACCAACTGAGCCACCCAGGCGCCCCTATAGATGGCTCTTATGCTGAGTTATGTTCCCTCTAACCCTACTTTGTTGAGGGTTTTTATCATGAGTGGATGTTGTACTTTGTCAAATGTTTTTTCTGCATCTATTGAAAGGATCATGTGGTTCTCTTCTTTTACTAATGTGGTGTATCATGTTGACTGATTTGCAAATATTGACTCCCCTTGCAAACCAGGAATGAATCCCACTTGATTGTGGTGAATGATTCTTTTAATGTACTCTTGGATTTGATCTGCTTTTTATTTTACTGAGAATTTTTGCATCAATCTTCATCAGGGATATTGGCCTGGAGTTCTTTTTTCTTTTTTAGTGGAGTCTTTATCTGGTTTTGGTGTGAGGGTAATGCTGGCCTCATAGAATTAATTTGTGAATTTTCTTTTCATTTCTATTTTTTGAAATAGTTTGAGAAAAATAGGCTATTAACTCTTCTTTAAATGTTTGGTAGAATTCCCCTATGAAGCCATCTGGCCCTGGACTTTTGTTTGTTAGGTGATTTTTGATTATTGATTCATTTTTTTTTTTTTATTTTTTTTTTTCATCGTTTATTTATTTTTGGGACAGAGAGAGATAGAGCATGAACGGGGGAGGGGCAGAGAGAGAGGGAGACACAGAATCGGAAACAGGCTCCAGGCTCTGAGCCATCAGCCCAGAGCCTGATGCGGGGCTCGAACTCACGTACCGCGAGATCGTGACCTGGCTGAAGTCGGACGCTTAACCGACTGCGCCACCCAGGCGCCCCATCAATTTTTTGAAGGTTATCAGTCTGTTCAAGTTTTTCTATTTTTCCTGTTTCTGTTTTGGTAGTTTATATGTTTCCAGGAATTTATCCATTCCAGGTTGTTCAATTTGTTAGCATATAGGTTTTTTTTTTTTTATTTCTCTTATAATTTTTTGTATTTCTGTGGTGTTGGTTGTTCTTTCTCCTCTCTCATTTGTGATTTCATGTATTTGGGTCCTTTCTCTTTTCTTTTTGATAAGCCTGGCTATGGGTTTATCAATTTTACTAAGTTTTTCAATGATCTAGCTCCTAGTTTAATTAATTTGTCCTATTGGTTTTTTGAAGCTTCTATATCATTTATTTCTGCTCTCATCTTTATTATTTCCTTCCTTCTGCTGGCTTTAGGCTTCATTTGTTGTTCTTTTTGTAACTCCTTAAGGTGTAAGGTTAGGCTAGGTTTTTTTTGTGAGATTTTTCTTGTTTCTTAAGATATGCCTCTATTGCTATATACTTCCCTATGTGGACCACTTTTGCTGCATCACAAAGGTTTTGGACCATGTGTTTTCATTTTCATTTGTTTTCACATATTTTTTTTAATTTTTCCTTTGATTTCCCAGTTGACCCATTTATTATTTAGTAGCAGGTTGATTAACCTCCATGTATTTGTGTTTTTCCAAATTTTTTCTTCTGGTTTCCTAGCATTTGGTCATAAAAGAATACAAGATATGATCTCAATATTTTTGTATTTATTGAGGTTTGGTTTGTGACCTATTATGTGATCTGTTCATGAGAATGTCCCATGTGCACTTGAAAAGAATGTGTATTCTAATGTTTTAGAATGGAAAGTTCTGAATATATTTGTTAAGTCCATCTGATACAGTGTGTCAGTCAAAGCCAATTTTTCCTTGTTGATTTTCTGTTTAGATGATCTGTCCATTGCTGTAAGCGGGGTATTGAAGTCCGCTACTATTATGGTGTTATTGTCAATAAGTTTGCTTATGTTTGTGATTAATTGATTTATATATTTGGGTGTTTTCATGTTGGGGACATAAGTATTTACAGTCATTAGATCTTTTTTTTAAAATTTTTTTTAACGTTTATTTATTTTTGAGACAGAGAGAGACAGAGCATGAACAGGGGAGGGGCAGAGAGAGAGGGAGACACAGAATCAGAAGCAGGTTCCAGGCTCTGAGCCATCAGCCCAGAGCCTGACGCGGTGCTCAAACTCACGGACCGCAAGATCGTGACCTGAGTTGAAGTCAGACGCTTAACCAACTGAGGCACCCAGGCGCCCCAGCAGTCATTAGATCTTCTTGATGGATAGACCCCTTAATTATGATATAATGACCTTCTTCATCTCGTTAGAGTCTTTGTTTTAAAATCTAGTTTGTCTATTATAAGTATGGCCATGCTGGCTTTCTTTTGGTGTCCATTAGCATGAAAGATGGTTCTCCATCCCCTCCCTATCAATCTTCAGGTCTCTACATCTAAAATTAGTCTCTTGTGGGTGGAGAGGCGGTGCATGCTACACGGACTGGTGGGAGGGAGCCGGGGCAGAGGGGCATCCCGCCAGCAAAGCAGAGCCCCTGAGTCTGGCTTGGAAAAGAGGAGGGGCCAGACAAAGTGTGTTCAGACAGCAACCGGGACTTAACATCTGGAAGGTTATCAGCTAACAGCTCTGCTCCAAGAGCAGGAAGGCTGGAGGACAACGGGAGGGACAGTTGTTGAGTCCCGGATGACAGAGAACAGCTTGGTGGGGAACAAAGGCACTCGCCAGCAACATCTCCTTCGCCCATCCTCCAGCCAAAGTCTGAAAGGGAACCAGTTCCTGTCAGGGAACTTGCTTGAACCACGGAAACACTGTTTCTGCGGATCCATCCATTCAGCAGTGGGTCTGACTCCCTCCTGGTGCTGCAGGGGCCCTCCTGAAGTGGATCACCAATGGAGAAGTGAACTGAGCCTGCCCCTCTGGCCCCTGTGCACCTTGCCGATCCACCCCGCTATTATGCCAGGTACCCAGCACCACAAACCTGAGAGTGTGCAGGTAGCCCAAACAGGCCACGCCACCCCACAGTGAATCCCACCACTAGGAGAGGGTAAGAGAAAGCACACACCAGTCTGACTGTGGCCCCAGCCGTGGGCTGGGGAAAGACATCAGGTGTGACTGTGGCCCTGCCCAAAACGCAACTTATTCAAGACAGCACAGGGGAAGTACCCGCAGTTCCGCACCACTCCAGGGACTATCCAAAATGATGAACCGGAAGAATTCCCCTCAAAAGAATCTCCAGGAAATAACGACAGCTAACTAACTGATCAAAAACGATTTCAATAATATAACAGAAAGTGAATCTAGAATAATAGTCATAAAATTAATCGCTGGGCTTGAAAACAGTATAAAGAACATCAGAGAATCTATTGCTATAGAGTTCAAGGAACTAAAGAACAGCCAGGAGGAGCTAAAAAAAATGCTATAAATGAGCTGCAAAAAAAAAAAATGGAAACAGCCACAGCTCAGATTGAAGAGGCAGAGGAGAGAATAGGTGAACTGGAAGATAAAATTATGGAAAAAGAGGAAGCTGAGAAAAAGAGAGATAAAAAAAATCCAGGAGTATGAGGGGAAAATGAGAGAACTAAGTGATGCACTAAAGAGAAATAATTTATGCAAAATTGGTATTCCAGAGGAGGAAGAGAGAGGAAAAGGTGCTGAAGGGGTACTTGAAGAAATAATAGCTGAGAACTTCCCGGATCTGGGGAAGGAAAAAGGCACTGAAATCCAAGAGGCACAGAGAACTCCCTTCAGACGGAACTTGAATCGATCTGCACAACATATCATAGTGAAACTGGCAAACTACAAGGATAAAGAGAAAATTCTGAAAGCAGCTAGGGATAAACATGCTCTAACATATAAAGGGAGACCAATAAGACTCGTGACGGATCTCTCTACTGAAACTTGGCAGGCAAGAAAGGAATAGTAGGAAACCTTCAACGTGATGAATAGAAAAAATATGCAGCTGAGAATCCTTTATCCAGCAAGTCTGTCATTTAGAATAGAAGGAGAGATAAAAGTCTTCCCAAACAAACAAAAACTCAAGGAATTCATCACCACTAAACCAGCCCTACAAGAGATGCTAAGGGGGATCCTGTGAGAGAAAGTACCAGACATCGCTACAAGCATGAAACCTACGGACATCACAATGACTCTAAACCCATATCTTCCAATAATAACTCTGAAGGTAAATGGACTAAATGCGCCAACCAAAAGACATAGGGTATCAGAATGGATAAAAAAAAAAAAAAACAGGACCCATCTATTTGCTGTCTACAAGAGACTCATTTTAGACCTGCGGACACATTCAGATTGAAAGTGAGGGGATGGAGAACTATTTATCATGCTACTGGAAGTGAAAAGAAAGCTGGAGTAGCCATACTTATATCAGACAAACTAGACTTTAAATTAAAGGCTAGAACAAGAGATGAAGAGGGGCATTATATAATAATTACAGGGTCTATCCATCAGGAAGAGCTAACAATTATAAATGTATATGCACCAAATACGGAAGCCCCCAAATGTATAAAACAATTACTCACAAACATAAGCAACCTTATTGATAAGAATGTGGTAATTGCAGGGGACTTTAACACCCCACTTACAGAAATGGATAGATCATCTAGACACACGGTCAATAAAGAAACAAGGGCCCTGAATGAGACATTGGATTAGATGGACTTGACAGATATATTTAGAACTCTGCATCTCAAAGCAACAGAATATACTTTCTTCTCGAGTGCACATGGAACATTCTTCAAGATAGATCACATATTGGGTCACAAAACAGCCCTTCATAAGTATACAAGAATTGAAATCATACCATGCATACTTCCAGACCGCAATGCTATGAAGCTTGAAATCAACCACAGGAAAAAGTCTGGAAAACCTCCAAAAGCATGGAGGTTAAAGAACTCCCTACTAAATAATGTATGGGTCAACCAGGCAACTAGAGAAGAAATTAAAAAATATATGGAAACAAACAAAAATGAAAATACAACAATCCAAATGCTTTGGGATGCAGCGAAGGCAGTCCTGTGAGGAAAATACTTTGCAATCCAGGCCTATCTCAAGAAACAAGAAAAATCCCAAATACAAAATCTAACAGCACACCTAAAGGAAATGGAAGCAGAACAGCAAAGACACCCCAAACCCAGCAGAAGAAGAGAAACAATAAAGATTAGAGCAGAAATAAACAATATAGAATCTAAAAAATCTGTACAGCAGATCAATGAAACCAAGAGTTGGTTTTTTAAAAAATAAACAAATTGATAAAACTCTAGCCAGGCTTCTCAAAAAGAAAAGAGAGGTGACCCAAATAGATAAAATCATGAATGAAAATGGACTTATTACAACCAATCCCTCAGAGATACAAGGAATTATCAGGGAATACTATGAAAAATTATATGCCAACAAACTGGACAACCTGGAAGAAATGGACAAATTCCTAAACACCCATACACTTCCAAAACTCAATCAGGAGGAAATAGAAAGCTTGAACAGACCCATAACCAGCGAAGAAATTGAATCAGTCATCAAAAATCTCCCAACAAATAAGAGTCCAGGACCAGATGGCTTCCCAGGGAAGTTCTACCAGACGTTTAAAGCAGAGATAATACCTATCCTTCTCAAGCTATTCCAAAAAACAGAAAGGGAAGGAAAACTTCCAGACTCACTCTATGAAGCCAGCATTCCTTTGATTCCTAAACCAGACAGAGACCCAGTGAAAAAAGAGAACTACAGGCCAATATCCCTGATGAATATGGATGCAAAAATTCGCAATAAGATACTAGCAAATCGAATTCAACGGCATATAAAAAGAATTATTCACCATGATCAAGTGGGATTCATTCCTGGGATGCAGGGCTGGTTCAACATTCGCAAATCAATCAACGTGATACATCACATTAATAAAAGAAAAGGTAAGAACCATATGATCCTGTCAATCAGGATGCAGAAAAAGCATTTGACAAAATTCAGCATCCTTTCTTAATAAAAACTCTCGAGTAAGTCAGGATAGAAGGAACATACTTAAAGATCATAAAAGCCATTTATGAAAAGCCCACAGCTAACATCATCCTCAGTGGGGAAAAACTGACAGCTTTTTCCCTGAGATCAGGAACATGACAGGGATGTCCACTCTCACCGCTGTGGTTTCACATAGGGTTGGAAGTTCTAGCATCAGCAATCAGACAACAAAAGGAAATCAAAGGCATCAAAATTGGCAAAGATGAAGTTAAGCTGTCACTTTTTGCAGATGACATGATATTATAGGTGGAAAATCCGTTAGACTCCACCAAAAGTCTGCTAGAACTGATACATGAATTTAGCAAAGTTGCGGGATACAAAATCAATGTACAGAAATCAGTTGCATTCTTATACACTAATAATGAAGCAACAGAAAGATAAATAAATAAACTGATCCATGGGGGAGGGGAAGGAAAAAAAAAAGAGGTTAGAGTGGGAGAGAGACAAAGCATAAGAGACTGTTGAGAACTGAGAACAAACTAAGGGTTGATGGGGGGTGGGAGGGAGGAGAGGGTGGGTGATGGGTATTGAGGAGGGCACCTTTTGGGATGAGCACTGGGTGTTGTATGGAAACCAATTTGACAATAAATTTCATATATAAATAAAAAATAAACTAAAATAAAATAAATAAAAATAAAAATAAAAAAATAAACTGATCCCATTCACAATTGCCCCCAGAAGCATAAAATACCTAGGAATAAATCTAACCAAAGATGTAAAGGATCTGTATGCTGAAACCTAGAGAAAGCTTATGAAGGAAATGGAAGCAGATATAAAGAAATGGAAAAACATTCCGTGCTCATGGGTTGGAAGAATAAATATTGTCAAAATGTCAATACTACCCAAAGCTATCTACACATTCAATGCAATCCCAAGCAAAATTGCACCAGCATTCTTCTCGAAGCTAGAACAAGCAGTCCTAAAATTATATGGAACCACAAAAGGCCCGAATAGCCAAAGTAATTTTGAAGAAGACCAAAGCAGGAAGCATCACAATCCCAGACTTTAGCCTCTACTCCAAAGCTGTCATCATC